GTTTGCTCCTCACAGGTGGCTCCTGGTTCTGGGCAGGCCCTGCCACTGTCCCCACCTGGAGCATGGAGTGCCTGAGGAAGGACAGCCTGTCCTCACCGAGGGGCCCAGCCCATGGGCTCAGCTGGAGGGCTGCTGCTTCTTGGGGCTGCCAGGATCATGGCAGCTCCTGTCCCTGCCGTGGTGGGGAGGAGGGTGCCAGCACTGCCAGAGCCTGCTGCTTTCTGCCTGGCAAAGGGGTGAACAGCAGAACTGGATGGGAGGGCATCACATCTTGGCCCCTGGGCCTGGATGGGCTAAATCAGTGTGCAAGGTCCTTGGGACTTTCTACCTCTGGTACAAACAGGAATCTTTATTTTCTGCTCTCTGGCTTAGGCATTAACTAAAAGATGTGCTAACAGCTTTAAACTCTGCTCTGCAAACCATATCATGCCTTGTGACACACTTTCTGGCCTGCCCAGGCTGGCGGAGTGGGGCTGATTCCTGCAGCCCTCTGCTGCTTTAGCACAGAGCGTCCTCATGCTGCTCCCAGCAGGTTCCCAGCCCCTGTGCTATCCTTGCAGACAGCCTCCTTTTGCTCTCCTTACCCTTTTCAAGTAGCAGCTTTGTTCTTAGCAGATGAAAAGCACGAAAGTAGCCAGTGGAGAGAGACGTGGTTGTGGTGCAGCTCTGCGAGCCTCTCTGGAGGGCTCTCGGGCACCCAGGTTTTCAGAGCAGGGCCCTGTGAGGCTGCTTTCCCTGTGGGACTTGTGGAGCAGGCCTGGTACTGCTGCCTAGGGGAGTGGGCTGCTCTCTGCATGGGCACTGAGCTGGGAAACCAGACCAGGGCCCCCAGGGATGACTGGTGCCTGCTGAGAAAGAGGGAGCTGTGATCCTGCGTTGCATTCTGCCCATCTGCACCTCGAGCCCTACAAAAAAAGCATTGCTATGACCTAAAAGCCGTAAGTAAACACTGAACTGGAGTCCTGAGGCGTCTGTGGTCTGCAGCTTTATTTCTTGTCTGTGAAAGCAAGTTACTGTATGAAAGTGAGATCCTGCAGGCCAGTGACCTTTGCAGCGCTTGATGAGATCCTGTGGTCCTTCAGGTCTTAGGGACCAGTGCACCCTGCGGAGCCTGTCCTTGTCACCGTGCCGAGGGGATGACACCGGCTGCCCCGCTCCCACCAGGCTGTTCCTTCCCCAGTTGTTACCTTTCAGGTTTTTTCTTCTCGAGCCTTTTAATCAACTGTTATTGTTGCTGTAATCTGTCCTGATGCCGTACTTCTAAAAGCGCCTCCTTCTCTTCTTCGGCAGGTCTCCGAAGCTGGGAAGGAGTCCTTGCCTTCGTGGTTACACTGGAACGCAGAGAGCAGCTCCCTGGAAGGGCTGCCCCTGGACACGGACAAGGGCGTCCACTACATCGCGGTGAGCACGCTGCAGCCCTTCCCCAACGGCAGCTACGTGCCGCAGGCCGCCAACGTCTTCTCCGTGGAGGTGCACCAGGAAGACCACAGCGAGCCGCAGTCGGTTCGAGCGGCAGCCCAGGATTTGGGCGACGCCGCGCCGTTCGTGTGCGGGGCGGAGGAGCCGGTCACCATCCTGACCGTCATTCTGGATGCCGATTTGACAAAAATGACACCAAAGCAGAGGATCGAACTTTTAAACAGAATGAGAAGCTTCTCGGAGGTGGAGCTTCACAACATGAAGTTGGTTCCCGTTGTAAATAACAGACTCTTTGACATGTCGGCCTTCATGGCTGGGCCGGGAAACGCAAAGAAGGTGGTGGAAAACGGGGCCTTGCTCTCGTGGAAGCTGGGCTGTTCTTTGAGTCAAAACAGCGTCCCCAACATCAGCAAGGTCGAGGCCCCGGCGAAAGAAGGGACGATGTCTGCCCGCCTCGGCTACCCTGTAGTCGGCTGGCACATCGCTAACAAGAAACCTCACCTCCCAAAAAGGATGCGGCGGCAGATCAACGCCACCCCCACGCCGCTGACCGCCGTCGGACCTCCCACCACCGCCGCTCAGGAGCCGCCGACGAGGATTGTGCCCACGCCAACATCGCCCGCCATCGCTCCCCCCACCGAGACAACGGCCCCGCCGGTCAGGGAGCCCATCCCGCTGCCGAGGAAGCCTACGGTCACCATCAGAACGAGGGGCCCCATCGTGCAGACACCCACGCTCGGGCCGATCCAGCCGACCAGGCTGGCGGAAGGCACCGGGACGGTCTCCGTGCCCATTCGCCCCACGATGCCCGGCTACGTGGAGCCCACCGCCGTGATCACGCCGCCCACCACCACCACCAAGAAGCCCAGAGTCTCCACTCTGAAGCCCGCCACACCGTCCACGACAGATTCCTCCACGGCGACAACGCGCAGACCTACGCGGAGGCCCAAAACGCCCCGTCCCACCAAGCCTCCCAGCACCACCCGCTCCCCGATCTCCAAGCTGACCACCGCCTCCCCTCCCACCCGCGTCCGCACCACCGCCAGCGGCATCCCCCGGCCCTGGGAGCCCAACGAGCCGCCCAAGCTGACCAACCACATCGACAGGGTGGACGCGTGGGAGGGGACTTACTTTGAGGTGAAAATACCCTCAGACACTTTCTACGATAAGGAAGATACCACCACGGACAAGCTGCAGCTGACCTTGAAGCTGAAGGAGCAGCAAATGATAGAGGAGAATTCGTGGGTCCAGTTCAACAGCACCAGCCAGCTCATGTACGGCATGCCGGACCGCAGCCACGTGGGGAAGCACGAGTACTTCATGTATGCCACCGACAAAGGGGGGCTGTTTGCCGTGGACGCTTTTGAGATCCACGTCCACAAACGCCCGCATGGGGACAAATCCCCGGTGAAGTTCAAGGCCAGGCTGGAAGGAGACCACAACGCGGTGGCAAATGACATCCACAAGAAGATCATGCTGGTGAAGAAGCTGGCCCTGGCGTTCGGCGATAGGAACAGCAGCACCATCACGGTGCAGGACATCGCCAAGGGCTCCATCGTGGTGGAATGGACCAACAACACGCTGCCTCTGGAGCCCTGCCCCCGCGAGCAGATCCGGACTTTGAGCAGAAAGATTGCGGATGACTCCGGGGGGCCGAGCCCGGCTTTCTCCAACATCTTGCAGCCGGAGTTCAAACCTCTGAACGTGTCGGTGTTGGGCTCCGGCAGCTGCAGGCACATCCAGTTTGTCCCCGTGACGAAGGACGGCAGGGTGATCTCGGAGGCAACGCCGACGGTGGTGGCTGGGAAGGACCCCGAGAAGAGCAGCGAAGACGACGTGTACCTGCACACCGTCATCCCCGCCGTGGTGGTGGCCGCCATCCTGCTGGTGGCCGGCATCATCGCCATGATCTGCTACCGCAAGAAGAGGAAAGGCAAGCTGACCATCGAAGACCAGGCCACGTTCATTAAGAAGGGCGTGCCCATCATCTTCGCCGACGAGCTGGACGACTCCAAGCCCCCGCCGTCCTCCAGCATGCCCCTCATCCTGCAGGAGGAGAAAGCCCCGCTGCCCCCCCCAGAGTACCCCAACCAGAGCATGCCCGAGACCACGCCGCTCAACCAGGACACCGTCGGGGAGTACACGCCGCTGCGGGACGAGGACCCCAACGCGCCGCCCTACCAGCCGCCCCCCCCCTTCACGGCTCCCATGGAGGGGAAGGGCTCCCGCCCGAAGAACATGACCCCCTACCGCTCCCCTCCGCCCTACGTCCCCCCTTAACGAACGGGACGCTCGGGGGGAGACGGGGCCTCCGGTCCCACACCGCTGCCGCCTGCGGGCCGGCCGCCCCCTTGCCGGCCGGGAAGCCGCCATCCCAGCCTGCTCCCCAGCAGGCCGCCCTGCGGCTGTGCCCACCGTGCCGGAGCGCCCGCGGAACCCGGGGGGACACTTGTTTTATTTTTGCCTAACAAGCTTTGGTTTTATTTTATTCATAGAAAAATTCTCGGCTCGAAACCGCCTTTCTGGCGGCGGGCTTCCGGGCACGGCTGGGGCCGGCGCGGAGGGCAGGGAGGGGGGGACGAGCAGGCAGCACTGGGGTGGCACTCTGGGTCTCCGCTGTTTGCCTTTAACACTAACTGTACTGTTTTTTTCTATTCACGTGTGTCTAGCTACAGGACGTAACATGAAAGGTAGCCTAAAAAAATAATTAAATTCAAGGGACTTTCTGAAGTCGATGTTTTAAGTTTTTACATTTAATCTGCTGTTTACCTAAACTCATGTATAGTTCTGGGGGCGTGGGGGGGAAGCGCTACGCTGCAGATAAGCTCCAGGGGTGTCGTAGGCTTAGGTAGAGGGGTGGCCATAGAGGACGGTCGGCCCCGGTGCTGGGGGCAGCGGGCTCTGGCTTTGTTTCCTTGGTTTTATTTTTTAATCGAAGCAATCCTGTTTCTCTCACGCATCACAACACAGCACAGGTCAGCCTGGTGCGAGGGCACTGCAGGGAGGTGAGCCAGGCCCCGCGTGTGCCCGCATCGCCCCCTGTGCGCAGCAAAGCCCTGGCCGTGGGGTGTTGGGGAGCTGGGAGATGTTCTGCGGCACAGCGCCTCCATGGCCGGGGCTTCATGGGGGGCGATGCTGGGTGGGCCGCATGGCTGTGTGCACAGGGCTGGGGGCTGGCTGCCGGGAAAGGGGGGGGGGGGGGGGGGGGGGGGGAGGCAAAAAAAGAGGATAAAAAGGAAAAAGAAAAAAAGGGGAAAAAAAGGAAAAAAAGAAAAAAAAAAAAAAGCGCCAGGAATAGCGAATAGTCGGAACAATCGGTGAAGTCTCAAATCTAATTTTTTTACTAAATTTTTGATACAGCCTCAAATTGTTTTATTAAAAAAGCAAAAGCATTAAAGATGGGTAACGCTGACAGCACTCTGTTGGGCTCCGCTTCTTGGGGCGGGATCCCGCCGGACCCTCCGCGCTCCGTTCCCTGCCCTGCGGCTCCGCCCCGCCGGGTCCCTCCGCGTTCTCCGCTCCTCCGCCCCGCCTTATGGCGCCCCCTGTCGGCCGCGCCGCCCCACGTCCCGCGCCCCGCCCAGCGCGGCGCCGCCATGTCGGGAGCGCCGGGCCCGGGGCGAACCCCGCTGCCCTGCACCGCCCGCGCCGCCGCCCACCTGCAGCTGCCCGGGGGAGCCGAGGCGGCGCGGCCCGGCGTGGCCGTCATTGACGTGCGCTTTCCCCGCGGCGGTGCGGCTGACGTGAGTGCGGGCCGGGGACGGGCGCTGCGGGTAGCGGCGGGGGTACCGGTGGGATGCCGGTGGGATGCCGTAACAGCGCCGCCCCTTCAGGTGCACGAGATCGTCTTCAAGAACTTCTACACCGCCTTCCTGAGCGTGCGGGCGCAGCGGGCCGGGCCGCCGGGACCCCGCAAGTGGCTCACCTGCCTCCGCGACCTGCGGCTGATGCCGTGCCCGCACACGGAGCTGGGCGCGCAGGAATACTTCTCTCTCCGCCGCTCCCAGGTCCGCCCCGGGCACGCGGCCGCCCCCGGCCGCCCCCCACCCGCCTGACGCCCGCTGTCCCCCCGCAGATGCTGTGCGACATGGAGCAGGTGACGGCGCTGCGCTTCATCCTGCGGCAGCCCTCCCCGGCGTGGCTGCACTTCGGAATCGAGGAGCTGCAGCTCTTCCCTCCTGGCAGCAAGGTGACCCCGGGGAGCCCCGAGCGCGGGGACCGCCCTGGGGAGCTCGAGGGGAAAGGGGGGCCCGGGGCCCGGGGTCCCCGGAGTGCCGCTCCCTGGGCGCTGCGGAGTGATGCTCGTAGTGCCTGTAGCGACATGGAGGATTGGTGGGGTCCAAACTGCGGGGCGAGGGTTGAGGGCGGGATAGAGGCCCCCGTGTGACCCTTTGGCTCCACCGCAGACCTCCCCGCAGGACGTCCCCTCCTGGTTGTCCCAGCTGAGCCCTCCGGAGCGACCCCTCAGCCTGCACGGGGTGAGTGGGGCTGTCCTGTGCCGTGGGTGGGGCTGCCGGTGGGTGCCACCCTGTCCCAGGGTGCACGGGTTGGTCCTTCCCATCCATCACATGGCCCACATTGTCCATCTGCAAAGCGCACAGCTGGTGGCTGCTCCACTGCTGCCGGGCCTTCTGACCCCAGCAGATCGTGGCTTGAGCACTCCATTCCCAGCGGATGAACCGAATCACGGTACCCAACCCCTGGGCGCTTCCAGCCCCCTCCTGGCCCTGCTGGCACCAGGGATCATTCCAGAGCCCCAAAACCACTGCCCGGTGCTGGAAGCAGTTTGCAGTTCAGAAGAAAAATACCCACTGAGACGTGCAGCTCGAAGTGGCATTTAAATCAGCTCCTCCTCTGCCTGGGGACCGGGGAGGCCTCGTGAGCAGAGGCGGGTGGCAGAGGGAGGCTGACTGGCTGACTGGCAGGGCTGGGCCAGGAGGTGACCATGGAGACCATCACAGCCTGCGAGCACCAGTGTTGGGCCTGCTAGGTGGCTCTGGGTGAGCAGAGTCCAAGGAGAGTTGGGGCAGACGCCCATGTCCCCGCTGGGGTGGGAGGGAGAGGATGTGGGGAGCATCGCGCAGTGCTGTGCTGGGAAAAGAGGACTGAGTTTGAGCGTCATGGTTGCTGAACCTTGGTGGTGTAATTAGGTCTTTAATCATTAGCTAATTGCTGCTCTGGACGCCCGCCAGCGGGGCCGTGCCGCCCTCAGGGTCACCGTTTCCCAGCCGCCCATCAGGGATGCTCTGTGGGCGCTGTGGCCGTGGCACGGTGCTGCCGTGCGGCCTGCACGAGGGCTGCCCCTGCCCTCCCGGCCCTTCCTGCACCGCTCCCGCTGCTTTCCAGGAGCTGCCCGACCCGGAGAAGGTGGCGGCGGAGGTGCAGCAGATGTGGGCGCTGACGGAGGTGGTTCGCGCTCGGCAGGCGGCCGCGCGCATCGGGCGCTTCGACGTGAGTGCGGTGCTCACCCGCAGCACCGGCGGCCGCGGGCCCGGGGTTGGGGCCGTGTGCCGCGCTCCCTCAGCGTTGCAGGGACCCAGCGTGCCGCGTTCCTTCCGCAGGTAGACGGCTGCTACGACGTCAACCTGCTGTCCTACAGCTGAGCCCCTCCGGCTGCTCCCGGGACCGGCGTGGATGCTGCAACCTTTGGACTCCAACCCGGCCTTTGCCCCACTGCCTCCCGCGCCGCCCGCTGCCGTGCCCCACGGCCCCTCCCGCAGCTCCGTCTCCACCACCCGCGGGCTCGGTTGGGGCCCGGCCCCCACGCGTTCCGCGGCCGTGGCTCCGGATAAAGGCTACTACCGCGCTGCCGCCTCCGCTCGTCTGTGCGGGGCCGGGGGCGGGCCGGGGGCGGGGCGGGAAGGCGGCATGTCCCAGGCGCCCCGGCGGGGCGGGCCGAGCCGAGCCGTACCGAGCCGCGCTGCGCTGAGCCGGGCCGGGGCCGGAGGATGCTGCGGGCGGGGTGCCGCGCCGCGCTGGCCCGTCGCCACCTGGGCTCGGCGCCGGTGAGTGGGGCCGAGGGGAGAGGGGAGAGCCAGCCGTGCTGAGCTAAGCCGGGCCGGGCCGTGCCGCGCAGGAGGGGCTGAAGCGGACGCCGCTGGACGCGCTGCACCGGGCCCGCGGCGGGAGGATGGTGCCGTTCGCCGGCTGGAGCCTGCCCGTGCAATACGGCCGCGGGCACCTCGAGTCGCATCTGCACACCCGGCGGCACTGCTCGCTGTTCGACGTGTCCCACATGCTGCAGGTAGCGGGAGGGGGGCCGGGGGCCGCAGGAGGGGTCCCGCTGCACCGCCTCACTCCCGGCCTCTTCCAGACGCGGGTGTACGGGCGGGACCGCGTCCGCTTCCTGGAGAGCCTGGTGGTGGGCGACATCGCCGAGCTGCGCCCGGGACAGGTATGGGGGGCAGCGGGTGGCAACCGGGCAACGGGCGCCCAGCATACGGCCCTGTGGGGGACGGATGCCCCGGCACAGGGTCCCCCCCGTCCCAGCACCCACCCCACAGGGCACCCTGACACTGCTCACCAACGAGCACGGTGGCATCGTGGATGACCTCATCGTCACCAACACGGTGGAGGATCACCTCTACGTGGTGTCCAACGCGGGCTGTGCTGACAAGGACCGGGCTGTCATGGAGGTGCGGGCAGGGCTGGGGCAGGGCAGGGCCCCCCAACCTGTCCCCACACTGCGGCCCCATCTCCGCAGGGCAGAGCGGCAGAACTGAGGGCGGCCGGCGGCGACGTGCACCTGGAGGTGTTGGACAACGCACTGCTGGCACTGCAAGGTAGTGGGTCCCCATGCTGGTGGCACTGGGTCTCATCCCACCGGGCCCGATGCGCAGTCCTGCACCGCCCATCTCGGTGCTGCCATCCCCAAGGCTGATGCCTGTCCCCTCCAGGGCCCTCCATGGCACAGGTGCTCCAGGCCGGGCTGCCAGATGACCTGACCAAGCTGACCTTCATGACCAGCACAGCCACCACCGTCTTTGGCGTGCCGGGCTGCCGTGTGACACGCTGTGGCTACACCGGCGAGGACGGTGTGGAGGTAGGGGGCACCGCGGGGCACCATGGGGCAGCCGCTCCCTGCAGGGCGCTGTGCCCCCTGACCACCCCATCCTGCACAGATCTCAGTGCCTGCAGGACGAGCCGTGGAGCTGGCTGAACGGCTGCTGGGCTGCCCCGAGGTGTGGCCGGCAGGGCTGGCAGCCCGGGACAGCCTGCGCCTGGAGGCCGGGCTCTGCCTCTACGGCAGCGACATCGATGAGAGCACCACGCCAGTGGAGGCCGGGCTGCTGTGGACCCTGGGTAGGTGCAGGCCGTGTCCAATTGCCAGGCCTGAAATGCAGGTCCCGGCTCCCAGGCCTGAAGCACAGACCTCCGGGTGCCAGACCCAAAACGCAGCCCTTCAGTGCCAGGCCCAAAGCGCAGGCCTCAGCCCTCTGTGCCCATAGGGAAGCGCCGGCGCGCAGCCAAGGACTTCCCCGGGGCAGCCGTCATCATGGAGCAGGTGAAGGAGAAGCCAAAGCGGAAGCGCGTGGGGCTGACATCCGTGGGTCCCCCCCTCCGTCCACCTGCCGCCATCCTGGGCCCCGAGGGCACGCCTGTGGGCACGGTGACCAGCGGCTGCCCCTCGCCCTCCCTGGGCAAGAACATCGCCATGGGCTACGTGCAGGCTGCGCACAGCCGCCCCGGCACCACGCTCACCGTTGAGGTGAGGAAGAAGCAGCACCCGGCGCTGGTCACCAAGATGCCCTTCGTGCCCACACACTATTACATGGCCAAGTGAGACCTGCCCCCATTAAAGCCCCTCGCCCATCTCCCGCCTCGTATCTGGCGCTGGGGCAGCACAGGGCGGTGGGGGGTGCAGTCCTTTAATGGCGCGGTGCTGGCGGTGGGCGCTCCTCATTCGCGGTGCGTCTTTCCCGGCTCAGCTGCCGTGCCGTCCCTGTGGAGATGGGGGCATCAGTGGGGGGACAGGGAGAGGGCGGTGGGTGCACCCGGCTGGGGGGCGCAGAGCAGGGCACACGGAGATGGGGACAGGAGTGGAGGATGCAGCCAGAGGGAGGGCACAGTGATGGACTGGACTGGGGGGGATATGCTGCAGCACAGCGGGCGGTGGGGCACAGAGTGGGGGGGAAGTAGAGGAGTGTGGGGGTGGCGGGATGCCCTGGGCTGTGGGCACATAGGGAGGCACACCAGGGTGGGGACTTACACTGAGGGCACATCCTGAGGGGGCAGCGGGCCGGGGCACAGCAGGGAGGCACACAGAGGGTGGGCACACACAAGGACACAGCGATGCGCAAGGACCCAGCGGGGATGCGCTGGGGCGGCGGCAGGGGGAGGGCAGGCGGCTCCGGGGACACAGCAGGAGCTGCGTGCTGGGGCTCGTTGGTTTGGAGATGCGGGACGAGGACAAGTACCGGGAGGTAGTGGGACAGCGGCAAGGGGGGGGCAAGCAGCGGGATACACAGCTGTGGGGACCCGGGGAGGGGGGAGGCGTTCGCTGGGACGCGCCGGGACGGGACGCGCGGTGCCGGGCGGACTCACCGGGGCGGGCAGTGCCGCTCGGCGGCGCCGTCGCGTCGGGCGGGGGACAGCGAGTGCGCGCGGGGCCGTGCGGGCGCCGGGCCGCCGTCGGTGCCCGGGGCGGGGGGGCGGCGGGCGGCCGGGCGGTAGCAGAGCGCGGCCACCTCCTCGCCGTAGGCGCGCCACGCCAGGCGGGTGGCCATCAGACTGAGCCCCAGCCACAGCAGCAGCAGCTGGCACAGCGCGGCACGCACGTCCTGCGTCGCCCACTCGGCCGCCAGCTCCCGGCCCAGCGCGCCCAGCGCCTCCCAGACCGCCGCCATTGCCGCCGCCGTCGCCGTTACCGGACGGGGCGGGGCGCGGCGCGGCGGGGCGGGGCGGCGGCATGGCGGGTGCGCGCTACTCCCGGCAGCTGTGCGTGCGGGGCCGGGGGCGGCGGGGTCCGGCCGCTCGCTTTCCTGTCGCTGAGCGCCCGCCGTGCCCCGCAGGTTGGTGCTGGGAGACGGCGGGCGGCGGCTGCGGGAAGCCGCGGTGCTGGTGGGGGGGCTGCGCGGGGTCGGAGCGCAGGCGGCGGCGGCGCTGGTGCTGGCCGGGGCGCGGAGGGTCGTCCTGCACGAGAGCGGCGCGGCGCGGGGCGGGGTGCAGGTACGGTGTGCGGGGTCACGGCGATGGTACGGGTGCTGCTGGGGGCTCGGTGTGGGTGCCGTCCCTTTAAATGGGTCCGGGGGTTTGGGAGAACGCGTATGGGTACAGGGAGGCATCCCATGCGTGGATGGGTCTCAATAAGGGATGCGAGTTGCTCGGTAATGGTTATAGGTGTGGATCCTGCTGATGGCGTGGTGGTACGGTGCGGGTGGGGGTGCTGGTGGGGCGCGGGTATGGGCGAAGGTTCCGGGAATGAACACGGGTACAGGCTGGGTGCTGATAATGAGTGCGAGTACGGGCAGGGATCCCATTAATGGGTGTGGATGTGGGCAGGGTCCCAGTAAGGGGTACAGGGATGGGTGGGGGTCTGCGGAGCGGACCTCGGCTGTGGGTGCGAGAAGATGTGGGGCTGGGGATTCCAGTAATGGCTGTGGAGGAGCCATGGGGATGGGAACGGCTGGGAGATCTCTGTCTCAGTGGGGATTGGGGTGCCTGTGCTAGGAATGGAGTGTGGGCTCTCTGTTCCGGGTCTGGTCCCCATCAGTGCCGCAGGCCCACGAGTGCCGCTGCCCCACAGTTCCTCCAGGGGGAGTGCAGTGTGGAACAGAACCGTGCTGAGGCATCCCAGCGGCTGCTGGCCACACTGAACCCTGATGTGGAAGTGTCAGTGCACTCCGGGGAGCTATCGGAGGAGTTCCTCACTGCCTTCCAGGTGAGTCTGGCCCCCAGCCCAGGGGTGCCATGGGGCTCCAGTGCCCACTGACAGCCCTGTGCAGGTGGTGGTGCTGACCGAGTGCCCGCTGGAGGAGCAGCTCCGTGTTGGGGACATCTGCCATGCCAAGGGTGTCTGCTTCATCGTGGCCGATGCCAAAGGGCTGGCGGGGTAAGGACTTAGCACGGCATGGCACCAGGTGGCTGCCCCTTCTTACCCTCCCCTGCCCCTCCGTGCCCCCATAAGCCTGGTGGATGGGACCTGCCCACTCTCAGAGCTGCATTGTCCCTGCCCAGGCAGCTCTTCTGTGACTTCGGGGAGCACTTTGTTGTCCAAGACCCAGGGGAAGGCGACCCGCTCTGTGCCACTGTGCAGCACATCTCCCAGGTTGGAAGCTCTGTGGTTGTCCCTGCACCCCGGCATGGCAGCTTTTCAGCTCCATGTCTCTGACCCAAAATGCTGCCTGGATTGAAGCTGCACGCCCACATCTCCTCTGCTCAGGGCAACCCGGGGATCGTGACATGCGCAGGGGCAGACAAGAACTATGGCCACCGCTTCAGTGATGGTGATCTGGTGATGTTTTCTGGTGTGGAGGGCATGGTGGAGCTGAACAGCAGCGAGCCCTGCCCTGTACGCGTGCTGGGTGAGTGCCCACCCCAGGGTCTGCGGGGGTCCCTGGTGGTGACCGTGACACCCATCCTCCCCTGCTCCCCAGATGGCTTCAGGTTGGAGATTGGTGACACAAGCACCTTCTCGCCATACTGCGGTGGGGGCCGGGTTTCGGAGGTGCGGCCACGCCAGGAGCACTCGTATGTACGTGCCCCCGTGCCACTGCAGTGCCACCCCCAGCAGCAGCCCCGTGCCCCCACCGTGTCCCCACCGTGTCCCCATGCTGTGTCAGCAGGAGCCCCTCCGCCAGGCGCTGGCGATGCCCAGGATCCAGGCCAGGAGCTCCACGGAGCTGCTGCGCAGCCGCAGTCTGCACGCTGCCTTCCAGGCCCTGCACGCCTTCTGCCAAGAGCGGGGCCGCCTGCCTCAGCCCCGAGCATCTGTGAGTTTCCTCCCAGCCCCCCTGGCCCGTGCCCCCTACAGCACTGCCATTGCCCCTCTACCCACAGGAGGATGCTGAGCGTGTGCTGGAGCTGGCACGTGAGCTGGGCTCGGCGCTGGGCCCCCTGGATGAGGACGTCGTGCGAGCGTTTGCCAGCGTCAGCGCTGGGGAGCTGTGCCCGGTGGCATCCTTCATCGGTGCGCTGGCTGCCCAGGAGGCGATAAAGGTGAGCGGCCGTGCGGCGAGCTCTGCTGTCTCCAAGCGCTCGGTGGCCACGAGAGGGCACCTGCTGCCTTCCTGGGGACACCGGGTGCTCAGAGCAGGGCGCTGGGCGGGCTGACGTGGTGCCAATGCTGGGCACGGGCACTTCTCTCGCCCCAGGCCATCACGGGGAAGTTCCTGCCCCTGGATCAGTGGTTTTACTTTGACGCCCTGGAGTGCCTGGCCGTGGAGGGGGCTGCGGGGCTGATGCCGGAGGACTGCGCCCCGGTGAGTGGCCGCTGCCGCTGGGTGCCGCGATGCCGTGCCCACCCCCACTGACAGCGATCCCTCTCCCGGCAGAGGGGATCCCGCTACGATGGACAGATTGCCGTGTTCGGGGCTGACTTCCAGGAGGAGCTGGGCCGCCAGAAGTACTTTGTGGTGAGCGGGGTGCGGGCAGTGGCGTGACACCGCCGGGGCGTTGGGGTGCAGTGGCTGTGCCTCGCAGGTGGGAGCCGGCGCCATCGGCTGCGAGCTGCTGAAGAACTTTGCCATGATGGGGCTGGCAGCGGGGCCGGGCGGGGACATCACCGTCACCGACATGGACACGGTCGCACACTCCAACCTGCACCGGCAGCTTCTCTTCCGTGAGGCTGACGTGGGGGTGAGCTCCCCCCAGAGGGGACCTGGGCGGTGCAGGGATGTGAGACAGGAGGGAGCCACCCCCACTCTGTGCCCTGCAGAAGCCGAAGGCGCAGGTGGCTGCAGCCGCTGTACGGCTCATGAACCCGGACATCAAGGTGACGGCTCACCAGGTCCAGCTGGGCCCCGGCACCGAGAAGCTCTTTGGGAACACTTTCTTCCAGCGGCTGGATGGTGTTGTCAGTGCTCTGGACACGCTGACGGCCCGTGAGTGCTTAAGTGGGGCAGGGATGAGCCCTGTCTCCATGCTACCAGGATGGATGCATACCCTCTTCTCCCCACAGGCGCCTATCTGGAGAGCTGCTGCATCCGCTCCCGCACGGCGCTGCTGGACACGGGCACAGAGGGGGCAAAGGGCAATGTGCTGGCCATGGTGCCCCCCCTGAGCCAGCAGCTGGAGCCAAGCAGCGACCCCACAGATAGGAGCTTCCCACTGTGCACACTGCGCTTCTTCCCCTCTGCCATCGAGCATACGCTGCTGGTACAGATGTGGATCCTTGCACCTGGCCCTTTGGTGTCCCATCCCGCCAGCAGGATGTGGCCCCAGCCGCTTCCTGCCAGGGTATCACCATCATGGTGAATGGGGAGGGGTCGCAGTGTGGGAACCCAGCACTCAGCCCTGTCCCCTCAATGCAGTGGGCTCGTGATGAGTTCGAGGGGCTCTTCCAGCTGCCTGCAGAGAGCGTGAACCGCTTCCTGGGGTGAGTACAGACTCCCTGCCCTGAGGCCAAGGTCAAGGAACAGACGGCCACGTCCTGCACGTGGTGTCACTGCGGGCATGCTGGTAGTGCCTAGCTTTGCAGGGAGCTGCCCGATGAGTCGGTGCGATGGGAGGGCCTGGTGGTGCCCAAGCAGGTGCAGAGGAGCCTGCAGGAGCGGCCGCGGGACTGGGGGGACTGCGTGCGCTGGGCCTGCCAGCACTGGCAGCTCCGCTATCACGACAGCATCAAACAGCTGCTGCACGACGTGCCACCCTCACACGTGAGCATGGGTCCCCCTTGTGCCATTTGATGGAGAGGTGTCCCTGGCCCTGACTCCGCTTTCCCTGTGGCAGGAAAGCAGCCCCGGTGTGCCCTTCTGGTCAGGGGACAAGAGGTGTCCCCACCCACTGATATTTGACCCCAGCAATGTGAGTGCATGGATTATGGGGCCAGGGAGAACTGCTGGTGGGCACTGGGCGCAGCAGAGCTGCTCAGACAACCTGAATGAGCTCTGCAGCATGGAGGATGAGCGGCACCTCCATCTCCCCCTGTACTGCAGGACACCCACCTGGCATACGTGGAGGCTGCTGCCCAGCTCCTGGCTCACACCTACAGGCTGCCATCCTGTGGTGACCGAATGGCCACGCGGGATGTCCTCTGCCACGTGGTGCTGCCACCCTTTGTGCCCAAGGACGGGCGCTACGTCCCCACAGCAGAGGGCATGGAGGAGGTGGAGGAGACTCTGGGTAAGGCTGCATGTCTGTATCCCCAAAACCCGATGAAGAGGCACGGGCCAGGAGGTGCAGTTGTGATAACGAGTTCCTGGCCTGTGCCCCTGCATCCCCAGAGCCTGGACAGATGCTGGATCTCGTGCAAGAGCTGGCGCAGTGGAAACAGGAGCTAGGAGGGGGCACAGAGGCAATGGACGCCATCCACTATGACAAGGTACCGCAGCTGCAGGGCTCGGGGAGGTGGCACTGCTTCCCATGGAACTCCCTTGTCTCCACGCTCTTCCCTGCAGGACAGTGACCTCCACTTAAGCTTCATCACGGCTGCATCCAACCTGCGTGCAGAGAACTACGGCATCCCACCTGCGAGCCGGCTGACGGTGAGTGCCATCCCCGAGGGCCCCCCTCCCCACAGGGCAGTTGGTGACACCCCTCTTGTCCTCAGAGCCAGCGCATTGCTGGGCGCATTGTGCCCGCCATCATCACCACCACAGCGGCCGTGGCTGCCCTGGCGTGCCTGGAGGTTTACAAGCTGGTGTGGAGATGCCGGGACCTCCAATGCTACCGCAACAGCAACCTGTTCCTGTCTGCATGCCTGTTTTTCCGCATCCAGCCCCCGCCAGCCCCCACATACTGGGTAGGACCCTCTCCCTGAGGCGCTCCAGCAGCCCCACGCTGTGCCCCACGGCTAGTGTGTGCAGGGCTGCAGCAGCCACTCGCATCTGGCTGATGGGAAGCAGCTGCAGCAGCCGGCGAGCAGCTGGCACTGGGCCCGGGGCTGCCTGCAGCTGTGGGGGGAGCAGAGCTGGGGTCCCCCCCTTTCTGCCAGAGGGGGGAAAGCAAAGCCACATCGGGGTGGGGGGGCAGGCCCAGATTGGGACCGTCTGGGTGATAGAGGCCCCTTTGTCTGGGGGTTTATGGCGTGCGAGGCAGCCCTTCCTGCGCGGCAGGAAGCGCCGATTGGAACCAGATTGGCCCGGGGGGCCCAGGGCCGGGGGCAGGAAGAGGGGGAGGAAAAGGGCCTTCATCGCCTCCGTGCCGGCTGCAGCTCAGCTTCAGGCTGCCCAGCCACCCCACGACCCTCCTGCTTCTGTGCCCTGCCGCCCAGTCCTGTGCCATAGCCTCGGGGTGGCCTGGATGCATTTGGCACCGTGCCGGGGCAGAGGATGTTGCTGTGGTGCTCCGTGCCCTTTGGTCCCCATCTGTGCCCAGCATCCTGCTCTGGGGCTCCCAGTGCTGCTCCGTGACACTTCATGCTGGGATGTGGCAGGAATGCTGTCCTATGGCTCGGTGCCCGGTGCTACCGTGGGGTCCTGAGAGCCCACCAAGGGTGTGGCCAGGGCCTGGGGGCCATGGTGTGCGTGTGGCTGTGGTGGTACGGATGGGGTTAAGGCCTCTCCCGGCACAGGCAACAGAAGGCAGGACGCGAGGGCGGCCCGTTGCCAGCATCCGCGGGACACGGCTGGGGCCGGAGCAGCGCTGCCTGCAGCGGGGGCAGATGGTGGACAGCCATGCCAAGTGCTGGGGTCGCATCCTGCATTCGGGCCGCAGCCAGGGTCACAAAACCCCCGGGGGCCACAGGCTCAAGAAGAGGCGATTGTGTGGGGCTGGGCTGCTTGTCAATGGGGCTTTGTGCGTGGTTGGGGCCAGCGGTGCCGGGGGATGGCCGTGTCCCATTCCCATCTCCCTGTCCCCGAAACTCCTCAAACAGCCCTGGTCCATTCTCCCTGCTCTCCTTGCAGTACCGGGGAAAGGAGTGGAGCTGCTGGGACCGGCTGGAGGTGCGTGCTATTGGGGAGGACGGGCAGGCGATGACGGTGCGGGAGCTGCTGGCTTGGCTGCAGGAGGAGCACGGGTGGACCGTCACCAAGCTCCTGCGTGGCAGCACCATGCTGTACGATGGAGAGGAGGATGAGGAGATGCGGGCACAGCAGCAGGCACAGAGGTAGGCAGCCGGCTCTGGCCGTGCCCTAGTGCTGCAGGGCCCCCATCTCTCCTGCTCCGCTCCAGCTGCAGAGTAAACATCCTGCTGCCGGCAGCGCTTCCTCTGCCGGACCCCCGCCGGCCCCCCACCATAGGGGCTGGGGAGCGGGCCTGGGCTCCGGCCCGGTGTGGCTTTCCCAGCCTGAGGGGCCCAGCACACCGTTCCTTTCCCGGCTGCAGGCTGTCAGATGGTGTGGAGCGCTCCGCGGAGCCGCAGCAGCTGGAGCTGCAGTACGTGTGTGCCGGGGATGAGCTGGAGGACGTCTGCCCCCCGCTTCTCTGCACCCTGCCCTGAGCCCGCGGGGTCCCCAGATGTCCCCGCCTGCCCCTCGCAATAAAAGCTGCAGGATAAGCTGTGACACGTGCTCACTGCGTCGCACCTCTGCCGGCGCTGCGCCCCACAAAGGCTGCCGTGCGTCCGTTTCGTACAAAACGGGGGTTTATTTACAGCGGGGAGGGGGTGGCGGGGCTAGATGTAGCCGATGACGTCGTTGCAGATGATGGGCTGGCGGCTGCGGCTGTTCATGAGGGCAGTGAAGCGGTGGAAGTCCGTGGCCAGCTGGGCGATGTTGCTGTGGGACTGGTGGAAGCAGGCTCCCTTGGGCTGCCCGCCCAGCCCCAGCGGGCACGACAGGCGCTTGGCGGGGTCGCGGCCCCCCGGCCGGGCTCCCTCTGCGGCGCGGGGCCGGGCCATGCTGGCCAGCTTGCGGCGCACGTTGCCCGAGAGGCTGAGCAGGAAGGCGGGCGGTTTGCCCAAGCGGCGCGAGGACTCGGCGGGCGGTCGACGGCGGGGCTCGGCGCCCACCTCGGGCAGGTCCATCCAGTTCTCCACCAGGTCGGCGAAGCAGTTGTCCCCCAGCACCAGAGGCTGCCGGTTGCGGCTCTGCGACAGCAGCGACACCGTCCAGTCCCTCCCGTCGGCCGGCTCGAGCGCCCGCCACTGCTCCAGGCAGGCGTCCGACGTGGATTTGGGGCGGGCGCGGCGGGCGGGGGCGGGCGCGGGGGTGCCGGCGGAGAGTCGGTGTGCACGCTGGCAGGGCGGGGGGTGCCGCCGCAGCACCGGCGCTTCGTCCTCGCGCCACGTGCCCCCCGACGCCTCCGAGTAGCCCGAGTCGCACTCCAGGCTGCGCACGCTGGCGGGGGGCGAGCGGGCGGCCGGGCCCCCCTGCTCCTCCTCGCCGCAGGCCGAGGCGGGGCGGCGGGGCGCGGGGAGGGGGTCGCGTTCGGCCGGCCGCGTGCCGGGCATGTGCTCCCGGCGGCAGCGCTGCGGGGAGAGGGCGGCTCAGCGTCGGGCCGGCGGCGGGCGCAGGTCTCGGCTCGCCCGCGGCCCCGGGCTCCGCTTTCCCGCAGCCCCGGCCGGCGTGCGGCGGCATGTCAGAGAGCGCGCGGCGCCCAGCCCGGCCGTGCCTGCGGGAAGTGACACGGGGCCGAGGCACGTAGCAGCCCCGCGCCCCCGCCCCGGCCCCTCACTGCCACGGGGCGCCCCGATCGGTGGGACGGGACGGGGCGACGTCCCCAGGGAGGGCCTTCCTCTCGGGGACGCCGGGTGCCCGTCGGGCCCGCTCGCCCCGGGCTCGGCGCACCCCGACCGCGCGGGGCTGAGGAGCGGCGAGGGAACGGGGAGCGCTGCCGAGCGGCAGCGGAAGGAGAGCCCCGTCCCCGCGGCCGGGCCGCTCCTCTTTCTTGAATTCCTATTGTCTGAGCCCAAAAGCTGGCTGTTACGTCCGCTTCCCTCTCGCGGAAAGCCGAGCGCGCAGGGCGGCCCGCTCAGCGTCCTGTCCCACCGCCCGCAGCAGCGCCCCGTCCCTTCTCCCCTGTCCCCACGTCCCTCTCCCTTCTCCCCCTCCCCGGTCCCAGCTGGCGCCGCGCCACCGCCCCGCACCACCCTGTCCCGCGGGGGCCGTGGGGCGCTGGGAGGGCGCGGGGCGGGAGGGGCTCCGCGGTTCCCGGTGCCGCTCGGGTCGGGGCCGCGGCTGACAGCTCGCCGCTCGTTCCCCTCCGGCCTCGCGCCCCCCGCCCGCGCCCCGCGTCCCGCGCGCGGTGCTCCCACGCGTGATGTCACCGCGCTGATGTCACTCGCGGCCCCGCGCCCCGACACGCCGCGACCCGTCCGTCCTCCCGCACCCCGCGGCACTCACCGGCTCGACGCGGCGCTGCCCGAGGCCGCCGTCCAGACGGGCGCTGTGCATCCCCGGCCCGGCCCCGCTCCCGGTGCCGGTGCCGGTGCCGGAGCGGCCGCGGCCCCGCGGAGCAGCGGAGCGCGGCTCAGTCCCGGCCCTGCCCGCCGCCTCCCGCCGCGGCGCCGCCCCGCCTGCCGCAGCCAATGGGACCGCCGTAACGTGAGCTCGGGCCGTACCGGCACCGGCACCGCCCCGCCTCGCCCGCCGCCCCGGGGCCCCGCTCGGCGCGCCCGGACACGACCCGCGGGGCGAGGCGGCCCCGTTACGGGCGCCGGGCTCCGAGCGGGAGGGGAGCGGAGACCCTCCGCCCGCCCGCGCTCCGCCAGCGCCTGTTAATTGCCGGCTATTAGCCGCTCTAGTTTGCTAATGAAGGTTTACAATTAGCCACCCGGTAATTCTGCCGGTTCCCGAGGCGCGGCGTGGATCGGCGGCCTCAGCAGGGCCGTGACCTGACCCCCTCTCACCCCGGGGCTGGGCTGGGAGCCGCGGTGACCGGCGTGACGCCGGGCATGGGTGGTGCCCGACTCCCGTGGCAACGCGCTCCGGCTTGTCCCAAACAGCTGCCAAGCCATGGGCACGTACGGACACCTCACCTTCCTCCTCCTCCTCCTCCATGCCCCAGGTAGGCACCCTGAGGTTCAAGGGCGCCCAAAGGAACTAAAAGAGGGACGGGAAACGGGGTGCCCCGGGTGCCCCCGGGTACCCACCCCAGGATAGGCACAGGGGGTGGCATCTTCAGAGTCTGGGACACATCTGGGGTATCTTGGGGACGTCTCCGAGGCACCCTTGGGGCACTGCAGGGACAGCCTGGCAGGCTGCAGTGACACTCTGCTCTTTGCAGGGACCTTTGTAAAGTCGGCAGGTAAGAGCGGCGGGGCCACCCGTACCCCCATGGGGACAGGACCCAGTTCCCTGACACAGCCGTGCGAGCTGCTGGTGGCAGCGGCCACACGAGGCCAATCCTGGGGTGTCCCGCCAGCCCTGCCCGACCTGCCGCGCATAGTGACACTGAGTGAGGACGCTGCACCGGGCGCCCGCGTGGCCGAGGTGGCTGCGTCCTGCAGCAATGCCAGCAGCAGCCCCCAAGTCACGCTGCAGCGCGTCGAGTCCTCTGTCCCCGTGGGCTCCAATGTCACCCCACGCAACGCCGATCCCAGCCACCCCTTCAACCCCGTTGCGATCAGTGCCGATGGCGTGCCTGCTTCCTCATTTAGGGCGGAGGTACGGCTGGGGGGCAGGGAGCAGGGCTGGAGCGCGTGGCGCCCTGCTGAGCAGCGTGCCTCCACTGAGCACCGTGTCCCCACACAGGTGACGCTGCGTGCCGGCGCAGAGCTCGATGCCCACCGGGTGAACTGGTACGCGCTGGTGCTGCGCGCTGCCTGTCCTGGCGAGCAGGAGGTGACGGGGCAGCTGTTTGTGCGGGTGACATCGGGGCAGGCGCTGCGCTGTGGCTTCCCGTTTGCCAGCACTGGTGGCGACGTGGTGCGGGTGTCAGCAGGCGTGGCACCCCGTGCGCCCCTGTATGCGGTGCAGGCGCAGCCACCGGGTGGGCTGATGGTGAGTGCCAGCTGTGCCGTGTCCCACAGCCTCCCAAAGGGAGCAGACCCTGGGGACAGCCAGGCGCAGGGATGGAATTCTCATCTCTCCTCTGACAGTTCCAGCTCAGAAATAGTGGCACGCCACTCACGCTGACCCATCAGGGCCTGGTGCTGGCGCCTGATGGTGGCTTCAGCCCCAGCAAGGACACCCAGGTGGGCACGAGTCCCCACTCTGACAGCACTGTCACCGCCTCTTTGGCACCACACACAGCCCTGTGTCCTGGTCCCCTCAGGCAGACCCAGTAGTGCTCAGCTCTCCTCTTGCTGTCCATACCTCCAACTTCTGTCCCCTTCTGTATCCCATCCCTGCCCCTATTTGCGTTCCTGACTTCATCCTCATCCCTATCCCTGTTCCCATCCCCATGCCAGTCTCCTCATCCTCATCCCTACTCTCATTCCTATTCCTAACCCAAGCCCTATTTGTGGCCTTCTCCATCCCCAGTCTTTGCCTCTATCCCTGTCCCTATCCTTCCCCGTTTCCCTCCCCATTTCTATGCCTGTCTCCTCCTTCATTATTGACCCCACCCCATTTCCATCCTTGCCTCCATCCTATCCCTATCCTCCAATTCCATCGCTATCCCAGTCCTCATTCCTGTCCCCATCTCCATCCCCATCCCTGATGGCAGTGTCACTCCTGGCTGTCTCACAGCCACCCCTGTGCTGCTCGCAGACGTTCAGGCTGGAGATAGAGGTGATGGATCTGCATGGGCAGAACTGCAGTGGGGTCGTGACGGTGGAAGTGCTGCCATCGCGCCATCCCCGTGTCACCATCCTGTGAGTGAGGCTGGGTGGGTGGGGGTGCTGGTAGCACCAGGCTGTGCCACACTGCCCGCTGTGCCCGCAGTGCTCCGCAGCAGGACGTGGTGGTGCCGGAGGGCATTGGCCCCTTGGTAGTGGTCACGCAGGTCCGTGCCAGCGGGGCCAACATCCGCTACGCCATCCTTGCTCCCACGTCACCAGTGCTCTTCACCATCGATGAAAGTGAGCATGGTGGCAGGGTCCCCGTGGCTGCCCTGTCCCCAGCCCTGTGCTCGGCTCAAGGCTGTGCCACCTCCTGCAGTGACGGGTGAGATCCGCAGCACGCGTCGGCTGGAGGTGGCCGGTGCACAGCTCCTCATCCAGGCATACAACGCGCTGCAGCCCTCTGACCAGGACACCATCGTGCTCAATGTCACCGTGAGGGGGACAGACCAGCAGGCACCATCCTGTGTGCCAGCCCTCTATGTGTATGGTTCAAGGGTTTTGAGGGTGATGCTCCACAGTGCTTGGGAAGTGGAGCTGAGCAGCAGCCACTCCCACACAGGTCCCAGGTGCGTGAGACCTTGTCCCCTGGCAGCACGCTGGTGACAATGAGGTGCACTGACCCTGCTGGCGATGACGGGTCCCTGCATTACATGCTGGAGGGGCCACCAGGCTCTCGTTCCCACTTCCACATGGAGGGGCCACAGCTGAAGGTGTGTGGGGCCAGAGCTGGTGAGCCCCCACTGGGGGAGCAGGGTCCTTCTAGCACCCAGCGGCATGGCAGGCTGTGGCTCTGGGGGATGCCCAGCACTACAGGACACCATGGCTTGGCAGGTCAACACCACTCTGGACTATGACACCGAGGCAATGGCTGCTATGGGCTTCCAGCTGAAGGCCACCATCGTGGTGACAGCCGGGGGACAGCCTCTGAGGAGCAGTGAGTGCCCATATCCCCTGCACCCTGTGCCCTTTGTCCCCTTCGCCCTGGGGAAGGTCAAAGTAGAGATGTGCAAAGCTCCCTTTGACCCCTAAACCAACACACAGCGGAGGAAATGCTCCTCTCCTGTGGCCCCAGTGATGCCCAACCCCTAGGGCACCAGTGTGGCACCATCCCAGTGTCCTTATGCAGCGTGCCCAGTGCAGTGTGGGCCATGGGATGGTGCCAGCGCAGCTGAGCTGCTGTGTGCTGTGCAGCCCGCATACCCGTGCTCGTGACAGTGATACCCGTCAACGAATTCACACCGGAGTGCCCCAATGGCATCATCTTCACCGTGTCAGAGACAGCACCTTTTGGCAGCATCGTGGGGCGCGTGGTTGGCACTGACCGTGACCGCCCACCGGACAGCCTCGAGTACAGCCTGGAGGGGGGCACTGGCCCTGCACAGCCCTTCTCCATCGATGCACGCACCGGTGAGTGCCCAGCCCTTCCCCTGCCTCACAGCACCCACGGGTGCCAGAGAGCTCACACGGCCCCACAGGTGAGATCCGTGTGGTGGGGCCCCTCGCCCCCCCGCGGCGCGCTGGCTACCGGCTGACGGTGCGGCTGACGGACACCCACAATGATCTGGACCCATTGAACCGGAGGAGCCGCCTGTGTGATGTGGCCGTGCGCCTGCAGGTGTGAGCGTGATGCCGGGGTGCCACCGGTGCAGGACGCTGTGCTGCGTCCCTGTGGCTGTCCCAGGGGTGGCTCTGGGCTGGAGGTACCCACGGGGACCGGGTGGGATGGAGCTGAGCCACCTCTGCTCCCGGCAGGCCATGCCTCAACGGGCACCACTGTGCAACCCGGAGGTGCAGGAGCTGAGAATCACAGCTGGGACAGGCAGCCGGCAGCCTGTCACCCACCTGGTGTGCAGTGGGGACCCAGAGGGCACCACGCTGTCCTATGCCATTGTCGGAGGTGAGGAACAGCCAAGCACTGTGACTTGTCTCTTCAGCACGGCCGAGGTGCTGAGCAGACCCTCCTATGCAGGCAATGAGGATGGGCACTTTCGGCAGGAGGGGAGCATGCTATCCTACATCCCCACCGGCCTGGCTGAGCCCCGCACGTTCGTGCTGCTGGTGGAGGTGTGGGGCAGCAGTGGGTCCCCACGCCGCAGCACCGTGCTGGCACTGGTGGTGCACGTCACACCCCGCAGCACCCCAGTGCCACCCAGCACCACCACCTTGCACACGGTGAGCAGCCTCCCATGGCCCGGGTGCCTCAGGCTGGGACACCACCTGGCCCCTCACCTCTGCTTCTGCAGACGCTGCAGAAGGAGCCACTGGTGGTCAGGCGGACGGTGCTGACTTGGCTCCCACCAGCTTGGTTTGTGGCAGTGCTGACTGCAACCAGCGCCCTGTTCCTGGCCAGCCTGTGCTGTGTGGCACACAGTGTGCTGCGCAGGTGAGCCCCAGCCCGCAGCATGGCACAGCACAGTGAGGTGGTGGCTCAGGGCTGCTTTCTGTTCTTCCTGCAGCAGCCGAAACCCCAGCAAGGTGCTTCTGAGTGAGAGGTGGGTGCTGGGCAGTGGTGAAGGCTCCCGTGGTGTCCCTGCAGCTGTGCGGGGAGATGTGGCACTTGGGGAGGGGATGCTGATGTCACCAGGGAGTTGCTCTGAGGAGCAGCCTCTGCTTTAGAGTAAGGGCACGGAGCAACGAGTGCAGGGATGGCGGTTTTACCAGGGAATGGCTGTGCCAGTGGGCAGGCTGGGGGCAGAAACTGTGCAGGGTGGCACAGCGCAACGCGAGGGTTGTTCCTGATGCCGGCTGGAGAAAGGAGTGACAAGGAGCTTTGAAAGGCTGTGGAGGGAGAGCCTGAGGGGCGGCAGAGCCATCCCAGCCCACAGCAGGCACCCGTATAGCGACAAGGAGCCACATCAGCCGTCGGGGTGGCCGACGGCCGTCTACAGCTACATAACCCAGCGCTACGCGACGTCACGGATGGGCACGGAGCCGGGAGCGCGGGAGCAGCCTCTGGGTGACACGCATGGCTCGGAGCCACCCGGGGTGCCGTCCGGCGGGACCCGCGCTCCCGGGTGAGGAGCGCCCTCCCTTCCCCCCCATTTCCCTCGCAGCTCCCGGGACGCGGCAGCGCAGAGCAGCGCCCGCGAGGAGGAGCGGAGCCGCCCCGCCGCCCGCAGCCCGTCCCTCTCGGCACCGCAGCCCTTCGACGGCCGCGCGCACGACCCACGTGAGCGCCGCGCCCCGGGTGAGAGGACGGGGCCGAGGGCACGGGCTGAGCGCCGCTCCCCCCGCAGGGACCGGCAGGGACTATCTGTTCAACAGCGTCACCGGGGCACGGCGCTGGATCTGAGCACCCCACGCGGGACGAGGATCCCGAGCGCCCGCCGTACGCGGGGCGCAGACATTAAACAGTGCACGGACCGCGCACCGCGCCGTCACTGCCGCGGGGCGCCCTGGGGAAGCGGGGGAGGTCGGCGCCTCGAGCGGAGCCGGGTGGGAGCCGAGAGGGCAGAACCGAGGCGCGGCCACGGGGCGGTACTGTGCCCGGACGGCCGTCCTCCCGCGGGGCCGCGCTCCGCGCCTCGGGCCGTGCCCACAGATGGGCTCCCACCGCGGCCCGCGCTCGCTGCGCAGCGCCCATTGGTCTGGCGTCCTCCCACTGGTGGCCAATGAGACGGCGCACCCTGCGGGGAGGCGGGCCGTCGGGGTGTGTCACGTGTGCCTAACGTGCGCGGCCATCCGGAGGCGGTCCGCACTCGGAAAGGGGCGGGGCGGTTTTAGGCTTGATTGACGTCTGTTCCGACCTATCAACGCGCCAGCTTCGGCCCCGGCGGGAGGGGCTCGGCTGCTGATTGCCGCAGAGCGCGGCGGGGCGGGCGTTGGACGGCGCGGTTGCTATGACGGCGCGCCCCTGGGGTCCGCCCCCTCGGCGGCCGCCATCTTGTTGTTGATTCGAACGGCGGGGAGCGGGCGGCGGCGCTGGGGGCTCGGGGTTGCCAGCCCCCGGCCGGGCAGGCGGAGCCGCCCCGGTGAGCGAGGCGGGCTGAGCTGAGGGCCGGACACGGAGCGCAGCCCCGCGAGGACAAAGGGGAGGGAATGGGGTGGGATGGGTTGGAACGGGACGGGTTGGAATGGGACGGGGGGAGCGGCGCGGCGGCGTGGAGGATGAGCGGGGAGGGGTGGGGGTCCGGGCGCGGCGGGAGGAGCCTGTCCGGGTCTGTCTGGGGCTGGAGGTCGGGGGATCCCGGCGTGCGGCGAGCCCGGCGGCAGCCCTAGCGGCCCTCCCTCTGTGCCCTTCCTTCTGCAGAGGCTGCGTGCGGCGAGGAGCCCTCGGAGCGCGGCGGTGCCATGAGAGCGGCATGGTGAGGGAGCGGCGCGGGCAGCGAGCTGAGCGCTCCTCCCGTCGAGCCGGCGCTGCCCCGGCTGTGCTCGGGGATCCGCGAGTCTGAGCGGCCGCCGTGCCCAGTGCGCGTGTGTGTGTGTGTGTGTGAGCGCGGCTGGGATGGGCTCGGTTTTGTATCCGAGCTGCTGCGAGGCTCCGTGCCCCTCCATCTTAGAGCTCTGAATCAGCAAAGCCCCCAACGGCGTGCTTCACTGTGTGCTGCTTTTGTCATGCCGGCCCGTCCTGCGTGTTTCTGCTTTCTTCCCTTCACAGCCGGCTGTCCCAGCTCGGTGTTTCTGAATCCCGGGGCTGGGCTTTGCTAACGGAGCGCTGTATGATGCCGTAGTGGTGTGCATCTCTTGGCTGGGCTGTGTCGGGTTGGCTGGCGGCATGTCTAACAAAGAACTGCACTGTAACATCTTTATCTGTTGAAGCAACGTGTCTGACCAGATGACTGATCTGTGTGCTAACGGTCAGGGCTTCAAGGTAGAAGAATACTCTATTCTGGATGTACGTTGCTGGGCTGAGGCTTTGGGCAAGCTGCCTTTTCCTGAAAGCCTGTCAGGAGCTTGATTTAGAATTGGATGCATCATTTGTTAGGTGTCATCACTGTTAACCTAAACAGGCCTACTGTGGGACATCGTAATCCTACGTAACAGTTCCTTGTCACTGAGGTTGAGGGGTGTTTCCCTGTTAGCTTAGCACTGCCCTGGGGTAAGTGCCCTATTTTAGAGCTGGAAGCAGTGGTGCACTTTGAAAAGATTAAGTGTGAACTCATTATGTACCAAGACATCACTGGGCTGATGTGTCAACTGCATAAAGCTCATGTTTTCTGTCTTTTGAATTTTCCTATTGCTAAATTTTCATCCAGTAGCTTTAGGAAGTATTTCATTCTCATCCTAGCTTTTTCACCACAAACGTTTCCAGGTGTTTGAATGAGCAACCTGTTCCATTCTGGTTAGAGCCTATGGGGCTGACTTGGTGTGTCCTTTTCATGGTGTGGCCTCTGCTTCCTATCCAATAAGGACTTCAGGTAGAGCAGGGGCAGTGAGCTTTGGCTCCCTGAGGCAGAAGTCAGTATATGCAGTGTTGTATGTGGAATCTCTGAAGACCATAGGACTGGGAAGGATAGGGGCCTCTTCTGAGCACATGTTTTTCCTTGGATGGTTGATGCTCTGGATATCCAGCAAGTCCCTCATGGCAGTTTTGTGTGTTTTTGATGTTGAAAAAGAGCAAGTGAGCGTGAATCACTGGTGAGATGAGAGAGGTTTCTAGGATCTGCTTCTAGTCACTGGGAATTTGTGCCACCTTCTCCACGTAGCTCCTATTGCTTTGAGCTCATATAATTAGAGCCTGCAGCCAACAGGAGGAGGGTCATGCCCTCTCCCTGCTGTTTGTGCCTTACCAGTTTGACCAGGGAACTAAAGACATTCACCCTGACCAAACTTCTTTCCTCCTGCTTTTGTGAGTAGTAGCATGATCTGCTTCATCATAAGGATGGCAATATCAGGCATGACCTTATTTTCCAAATATGCTGGAGGGCAAAATCAAGATTAGATGTGCACTGGGGGATCCCCCCTCGAGTGGCAGATTGTACAAGGCAACAGAACTGAGCGTTTCCATTGCCAGTATTGTGAAGTCAAGGTTAAAGTAGCAAGCACTCTGGTCAAAAAATGCCCTAGCTGAAGTTGTACCCGCAGCCTTAATCAGCTAATTAGCCTCCCCGACAAGCATTATAGTTTGTTCTTAATCATGCAGTTCCATGCTATTCTTGTCTATGCTAAGCTTCCTACTGTTTTCTTCTCTTGTTCCTCCTCCCACGTGTGGCACTTATTACATTTATTAACCTCTGAAAACGTGACCTTGTGAAGCGCGATGAGCGTGAGGTGATGAGCCCTGCCCGGGCTGGGAGCTGCCTGCTGGCCATCTGCTTGCAGCCTCCTGCTTTAATAGATCACCAGAGGCCTGTATAGACCTTGATTGTGTTTGAGATGTCTCTTCGTTTATTTGTCTGTTTCTCGAGGTTGCCGTGGAACTGGTGAGTGGGTTATGAGGTGGAGCATGCTGTCTCGTGGGTTGTGTTTCGAGTAAGAAGCACGGGTGTTCAGCCTGAAGCTCAATATGGACGGCCTTTACTCTTGAGCAGGCACATCTCTTGGTTGAAGCTGTAGAGTGTCTGATGAAGACCTTCTTTGGGCCATAACCCAGGCACTTAACGCACTGCCACCAGGTTCCCCCAATCCATCCACCATCAGTTAGCTTCAGGATGGTTGATACACGCAGCGAAGTTAAGTGGTGATGCTGGGCTGCAGAGTGTTGGAAGGCTGCAGGTTATTGCTGGCAGGAAGCTGCAGCCTGAGTGTTTTTTCTCTCCTGTTGGCAGTGTCAGTCCAGTTGTGGTGCTGGGCAGGGTGTAGGTTTGAACTTGACCTGTGACGTTTGCAGATGTGTGGCAGTTCAGCAGGGCCCTTACTCTGTGTCTGTGCTGTATGACTTGGCTAAAAGGAATGTCTGTAATTTCTGGCTTCTTTCTTTGAGAAAGAACGGCTACGAAATGCAAGGAGTTCCCTCCTGAGAACTGAGATGGGTGAGCTGGAGGAAGGAGTGAAAAGAACAAAGAAAATGTGACAGAAACCTCTGCAAGAATCAGGTTGACTATTTACATGACTTGTTGTAAACTGAAGGGACCCTTCAGATGCGAATAGCAGTAGCTGGCAGTCTCCTTTTTGTATTCCTGGTGTGACAGGAATGCAGAGCAGGATGCTGGCAAGTGTTTAATCTCAGGTTTGTTGCTGCTGTCATAAGGGTGGTGGGGGAGGAAGAGGAAGTGTCTGCATGGCTGCTTAGTTTCTGTTTTGCAGGCATTGCCTGTACACAGTGCTTTAGCTGTTCTGATGTGGCAGCAGCTGTTATTTTTGGCTTTCCCAGCATGCTGGTTTAGTAGATGCGCTTTCTAATGGATGCAGTTCTCCTAATTGTCATGTTGGGGTGCTTGTGCTTCCTATGTAGTTCCTTTCAGGTGCAGGTAGTACCTGGGAGCAGGTTATTTGCCTTTTTATTTTCTATATGTATTCTGAGTGGCAATAACTGTGTGAAACAAGCATGCTAAGCTTAAACTGTTATTTTGCATGCTTAAGCTGTTGTTTTGCATAACCCTTGTCAGTATGTGATCAGTTTCACTTACAAGGAATGATGTTATCCCATTCTCTTGGGAGAATCACAGAATGGCTTGAGTTGGAAGGGACCCCAAGCGTCATCAAGCTCCAACCCCCTGCCACATGCAGGGCCACCAACCTCCATAGCTAATACCAGACCAGGCTGCCCAGGGCTCCATCCAGCCTGGCCTTGAACACCTCCAGGGATGGAGCATCCACAGCCCCTCTGGGCAGCTGTTCCAGCACTTATTCCAGAACAAGAAGATAAGGTTCTCTATCAGAAGGTGCCTCCGTATCACGATATCCACAGTACTGTTAGCACGACTGCAGTTGGTTCTGTTTAAAGGCAGCATGGGCGTAACTGCCATAATTGTATTAATAGAAGATCAGGGCCGACCAAATCTGATAAACGCAGTAAAGAAAGTTGGAATATAATTTGCCTGTCCTGGCGGGATGTTACTAAGCATGGTTCAGAGCTCTGACAGATAAGCTGTGTCTGATTTAGCTTTTGTAGTTGGAAAGGTTATCTCCTCCACCAGCTGTCTTGCTGCTTTGCCAGAAGTTACCT